AAATGCTAGAGAGGCTTGCAAATCATCCTTATTATTTCTTTCTTGACGGGTACTCGGGATTCTTCCAAATCCCCATACATCCAAATGATCAAGAGAAGACAACTTTCACAAGCCCTTATGGTACCTTTGCTTATCGAAGGATGCCATTCGGGTTGTGTAATGCTCCAACTACCTTTCAAAGGTGCATGATGTCAATCTTCTCTGACTTAATTGAGGATGTGGTGGAGGTATTTATGGATGATTTCTCGGTGTACGGATCTTCTTTCTCTGCTTGTTTGTCTAATCTATGCAGGGTCTTACATCGATGTCAAGATACAAACCTCGTTCTTAACTGGGAGAAGTGTCATTTCATAGTGAATGAAGGGATTGTATTGGGGCACAAGATCTCAGAGAAGGGTATTGAGGTAGACAAGGCCAAGATTGATGTGATGGTTGGGTTGGCTCCACCAAAGACAGTCAAGGACATTAGGAGTTTCCTTGGTCATGTTGGGTTCTATAGAGGTTCATCAAGGACTTCTCTAAGATTGCTAGACCTCTAACCAAGTTGCTGTGCAAGGAAGCTACCTTTAGCTTTGATGAAGAGTGTCTTAAAGCCTTTAAGAAGCTGAAGAGTGAGCTCATTAGTGCTCCCATTGTTCAACCACCAGATTGGGACCTTCCTTTTGAGATCATGTGTGATACTAGTGACTATGCTGTAGGAGCTGTTTTGGATCAAAAGAAAGACAAGAAGACTCATGTGATATACTATGCTAGTAGGACTCTAGATGATGCTCAAATAAAGTATGCTACAACTGAAAAGGAGCTTCTTGCCATAGTATTTGCCTTTGAGAAGTTCAGAAGCTACTTGGTTGGGTCTAAGGTCATTGTCTACACTGATCATGCTGCATTGAGACATCTTTTGGCCAAGAAGGATGCAAAGCCAAGACTGTTGAGATGGATCTTGCTACTGCAGGAGTTTGATCTAGAGATCAAAGATAAACCAGGAGTTGAGAATGGAGTAGCTGACCATCTATCCAGGATGAGAGTGGAGTGTGGTATTCCCATTGATGAAGGTCTTCCAGAGGAACAAATTATGGCCATTAGAGGAGTTGTGAGACTTTGTGAAACTGGAAAGAAGATTGAAGAGGTCAAGAAAATCAAAGATAAAGAGCCTTGGTATACTGATTTAGTGAACTACTTAGCCACCGGAAAAGAACCATTAAACCTTGAAGGATATGCTAAGAAGAAATTCTACAAGGATGTGAAGAGGTACTATTGGGATGAGCCTTATCTCTACATTCTTTGCAAAGATCAGCTTTATAGGAGAGTAGTGGCTGAAGTGGATATAGATGGGATCCTTACACAATGTCATGGGGCATCTTATGGAGGTCACTTTGCTACCTTCAAGACTGTTGCAAAGGTTTTACAAGCTGGGTTTTGGTGGCCACACATGTTCAAGGATACACAAGACTTCATCTCAAGGTGTGACTCATGCCAAAGAAGAGGAAACATCACCAAGAGGAATGAGATGCCTCAAAATCCTATCCTAGAGGTTGAAGTGTTTGATGTGTGGGGCATTGATTTCATGGGACCTTTCCCATCATCCTTTGGCAACCTTTGGAAACAAATATATCTTTGTGGCTGTGGATTATGTCTCAAAATGGGTGGAAGCTGTAGCAAGTCCTACAAATGATGCTAAAGTGGTACTCAAGATGTTCAAGAGTGTGATCTTTCCAAGGTTTGGGGAGCCAAGAGTTGTTATAAGTGATGGAGGTTCTCACTTCATCAACAAGCTATTTGAGAGCCTACTTAAGAGGAATGGTGTTAAGCACAAGGTAGCAACTCCTTACCATCCCCCAACAAGTGGACAAGTTGAAGTTTAAAATAGAGAAATCAAGAGCATCTTGGAGAAGATTGTAGGAACTACAAGGAAGGATTGGTCTAGCAAGCTTGATGATGCTCTTTGGGCTTATAGGACTACTTATAAGACACCCTTGGGAACCACTCATTTCCATCTTGTGTATGGTAAAGCCTGCCACCTACCTGTTGAGCTGGAGTACAAGGCTTTATTGACTGTTAAGCTACTAAACTTTGACATCAAGAGTGCCAAAGAGAAGAGACTTTTTCAACTCCATGAGCTTGATGAGATTAGGATGGATGCTTATGAGAATTCAAGGATATACAAGGAGAAGACTAAGGCTTTTCATGACAAGAATATCCTGAAGAGAGAGTTCAATGCTGGAGATCAAGTCCTTCTATACAACTCTAGGCTGAAGTTGTTTCCGGGAAGGCTTAAGTCAAGATGGTATGGTTCTTTCAGGACATCGTCACGATCGCACGATCATCTTTTTTTCTTGTCGGTTTTCTTTTGTATCAAGGGTGAGTAATGGGCTTGCGGACTTAAATGCAAAAACTTGTTTGCATTTTGGCCCAACCCAATACCACCACTAAACCCTTTATTTATCTATGAAGTTATTCTGATGCCCAAAATAAAAAAACTCTATACAATATCTCATGGTTATTGTGTTTCAAAAAACAAGAGTTATTTTCATCCTAAGGCAGTTTTAATTACAAGATAAGGCAGTTATTGCTCCTAAGGTAGTTTTTTACAACTACAAATCAATTACGTTTACTCTTCTAACTAAATCGACCCCATAATTTTCAATCTCATTTTTCTTCTCTCTTTAACAGAGAAATAATTATAATGACAAAAAAAATTTAAAAGAAAATCTAGAAACAATAATCTTAATGGTAAAAGAATAAAAAAATGAAAAAGTTGATAGATCTTCACTTGAACAAGATGTTGAAGAACAACATGAGAAATTCTGAGAAATTGAAAAAAAAATCTGGAAAACAAAATAAAGAACACGATCTCAAACAACAATTGCCAAATTTGGAAGACAAAATGAAGAACACGATCTCAAGCTCGTGGTGATTAATGCTCGAATTCCCACTATGGTGGCGGTTTTTCATTTGCACAATGAAGCTCAAACAACAATGGCTAAATCTCACAGAAAACTCACATTTTTTTACAAATCTGAAGATGAAAATTTATTTATAAATGATAAAGTTACAATCTTGAAGTGTAACCTACAATTAAAATGTAAAAAAAAAAAAGAAGATTATGAGAAAGAAATCAATGACGGCCACACAAATAGTTGCAGAAAACCCTAAAAATCTGGGAAAGACGAAGATATATTTATTAAAATGCCACTCACTAAAAGTTAAAAATGTGTACACTTTCAACATACACGTGTACACGAGATAACCTGTCCATGTATCTTAATGTTAGTGTACATGAGTATATTGGGTGACCACAGGAATTTGTACATAATGTAGATGATGAGGATGTGTACATAAGTTGTGTAAGTAGTTTTGTAGTTGTACATGAGTAAAATGAACAACCTTCATACGTTTTAATGTCAAAATACATCTACATGTACAATGATTTATATGTACACAAAATTTGTACAATAATACATAAACGTTATACATTGTTTCTCCAACAAAAGGAAATGTATATTCTGCCCATTCTGATTTTTTTTAGTTCTTGAATCAAAACAAAGCATTGATGCTCACAAATCCATCTTCAAAGGAAGTTATGATATCTAATGATTTTGCAGAAAACCCTAAAAATCTGGGAAAGACGACGATATATTTACTAAATTGCCACTCACTAAAAAGTTAATAATGTGTACATTTTTGATATCTTGGTTCACTTTCGACGTACATGTGTACACGGGATAACCTGTTCATGTATCTTAATGTTAGTGTACACGAGTATATTGGGTGACCATAGGGATGTGTACATAATTCATATGATGTGGATGTGTACATAAGTTGTGTATGTACTTTTGTTCGTGTACACGAGTAAAAAGAACAACCTTCCTACATTTTAATGTCAAAATACATCTACATGTACAATGATTTACATGTACACAAAATTTGTACAATAATACATAAACGCTATACATTGTTTCTCCAACAAGGGAAATGTATCTTCTGTCCACTCTAATTTTTTCTGGTTCTTGAATCAAAATAAAGCATTGATGCTCACAAATCCATCTACAAAGGAAGTTATGATATCTAATGATTTTATAAAAAATCACATGTACATTAGTTCAAAGTTGGCAATTGTTGTTATCAAGCTTCTCACAAGTGGTGAATGTGACAATGAAAAGCACGACAGTGACAACGGTTTTGAAGCAAGAGTAGAGTAAGCAGACGCGAGAAAATGTAAACGTCATCGTTGAAGCTTTAAACGATCACATTATTAACGTCATATACATCACGATTATATAATCTTCATAAATATGTCTTGACATATCTTAAAAGATAGATTAAATATTGAAGATACTAATTAAATACATGTTTTTTAAATAAAAAAATTCTAGAACAATATAGTTCATTTACATGAAAAGGTAGAAAACTCAGAAAAAATGAAAAAAAAATATATGGAACCCACTTTATTTGTCTTGTTTATTAGGAAGAGTAGTTAGTAAACGAGTAGTTAGAAAATAGAACTTTTTTTTTTAACACTTGAACATGGAGAAATAATCGTTGTGATACAAAGCAGAAGACAAGAAATTAAATAAGATGTCAATAGACACCGCACAAACAAGGAGAAAAGGAAAAAATTCTCACCAACTCACATTATTATCGAGCTTCCAAGGTGAGTAAATGTTGAAGCCAAGCCGGTGCATCTCGGGCGATGTATGATTGGAGTACTATCTCGGGTGACACTAACAGCAATTGCGGATGCAACTTCATTTCTTTCCGGAAGTGCGTGATCGAGGCTCCAAAACTCTATCCTTACAAGAAGAAAGGATATATCGTGTCGGAAATGATTGAAGTTCGGGTGATCTTAACAGAACTAGAAGAGGAAATTGTTAGGATAAATTACCTTAACAGAAGAAAGTGTCTTTTCTTTATATAAAAAACACAAAACTTGTCTTAGAGTGTAATTGTTTCAATAAAACAATATCTCATAAATATAAAAATATGGGAAAACATTATTATATTTTAAAGCGATCTTGTTCGATCCATCTTTGATCCCCAAAGTTTTCATTTTTAATATATTAGTTGGAGAATATTAAAACCAGTGATTTTCTGGGGCTTTGATTGGATTAAGACACGATCGCAGAAAGTAGAATCAGTCGTGGAAGAAGGGAAGGGATATTCGAAACCCTAATTTCGATCGTATCCCCCATCTTCTACGAAAGACATCGATTGAATCCAAAACGAAAACGATAGTTTGAAATCAAAGTTTCAATTTTTTCTTCTTCTTCTTCTGGGTTTCGACCTGATGGGTTTCTTGAAGAAGTTAACGGGGATTTTCGGGTTCGGGCACAACGATGCTGGGCACGGAGTTGCTGCGAGAGATGAAGAGGGTGACGTCGGAGATAACTCTAGAACAGTCTCTGAGGACGGAGATAGACGCCGGGAGGATAATCAGCCAAGGTTCCGTGAAACCGGACTTCCGAGGAGAGGTTTTGGAGTTCCAGTTCAAGTTGCCGTTGAACGGTCTAATCCTGGTCCTATTCTTCAGCCTTGTCCTGCTTCTGACGGTGGAGTTCAGGTTTGTCTTTCTCTTATGTTTGTGATTTTAAATGTGTAGAAGTCTAGGGACTAAAGTAATTAATGAGAATTTGATTCTGATCTTGTAATGTGGTACTACAGTTTTGTGCTTGTCTTGTTGAAGGATCGTTAATCCTTTTGTTTGGTTCTGAACTTCTGGTAATGTTATGTTAGTTGGTAAATTGGTCTTCTGAGTTTGTGAAAACTTATAAGCTGTTTTGTGTTTTCACTCATTTTCTAAGCTTAGCATTGATGAACAGTTGAAGATAGAGTATTTTTTCAAAGTTTAACATTAATGAACATAGAATCTTTGTCCTACGCAGTCCTTGCTTTGTTTTTCGTTAGTAGTATGGCTCAGATTTGGCTGTGATATGGTCTTGTTTCACAAACAATTGTTTATATTCCGCTTAAAGATTTTATTGTGTTAGGTGTCTTCATTATATTTAGTTCATTGTATCTTAAATTCTCTGTTCATTCATCTTTATATATCGAACTAAAGAGTAGCACTGAAAGATTATGACAGGACACGATATATGTTTTAGCTTGATTAGTTGCGGTTAAAGCAAGTAGTTTTAGTTCCACTCTACTACAAAACCTGTAATTTGGAAAGCATGATGGATCTCATGGTTTAATGGTTTGGTATTCATCATCAGTCATGAGGCTATTATAGAGTTTAGGAATCTTAATTGGTTCTGTTGTTGGGGAAGACAATAATCTACTACTTTAGAAGCTAGTGGAGTTGATTCATCCGAAGACAACAATGTATTTTTTTTTTATGATCAAGTTCTTCTTGATGGCAATAAGCTAACATCTCACATAGTTATTGACTCAACTTAGTTTTACCATCAGGGACTACGATGGTACTCAATGCAGCTAAGGATTGATGAAGATGGAGATGTTGCAGATGAGTTCTTAGAAGATCATAACTGTAAGACTTTGCCAAGAAAATGCAAAACAAAAGCTGCAAAAGTGAGAGGTTTAGTGATATCTTCTGATGGGAAACTTCAGCCATTAATGCATTGAACAACGAACACCAAGGAGAAATATTTACTGATTAGTGTGATTGAATCAGAGAAAGGTTAGAATCTGTGTTTCATTTAGCCATTCAATCTCAATATAAAATCGATTAGATTCTGGTTGTTGATACTGGAGAACTTGAAATGTTTTGTAACTGTGAATTTTGTTTTTGAAAATAGACAAGTGAATCTCTTTGGGGCTGTGTGAAAACGTGTGAGCAATTGTTGGAGGTGTGTAGCACGACAAGTTGTATACAGGACCTCTGATTTAGCTTGAAAGATTATGTTTTTACTAGTTTAAATTCTCACTGTGACTGAGTTATATACTCGATGGTTAATGTTAGTAAAGGAGTTAATAAGAAGTTTAAGAAACAAATATCATTGAGATTCTGATTAGTTGTTCGTAATTGCTCATCAATAATTGCATCTAACCAGTAGTACATAAGGCACCATTATCCCTGAAACTCTAAAAACTACTCCTCCGTTTCATTTTAATTGTCATTCTAGGTTTTTACACACATATTAAGGAAACATTTAATTTTACATATTTTCAAAATAAAAACACAATTACCTATACACCTAACAACATTTCAACCAATTGAAAAATATAATATCATATAAAATTAATAAATTTTGCCTCGGAACTCTAAAACGACACTTATTTCCACCTTTTAGGTCCGTTACGGATCACTAGTATATTAAAAATTTTAAATATCTTGTATATGTCCACCTCTACTTCGAACTGATTATCTTAAAGACTCTTTTTATTTAGGTGAGTACTATTTAGGTAGAGACCATTATTATCATCCATAAGAACACTATTAGTGTCTCTCATGTATATAAAAATGATATTGACTTTATTCTGTAACTAAATTTTAACACATAAGAATAGATCAAATGGAATGAATATGTCACAGCAATTTTTACATTCTGTTTTGAGTTTTTTTTTCATAAAAAATATTTCTTGCTAAATTTTTACATTTTCTCTCTCTTCTATTTATTTGATTTGTCTTATTATTTAATTAAGAAGAGACTCATCAAGATTTAACAAGTTTCGAATGTAATTTGATTAGTTGATTATTTTCATAATTGTAACTGGAAACTATAATAATAAAAACTTTATGCAGTATAATTTTGTTTGCCTTGTGAAAGTCATGTTTAAGTAATTCATATCTATTGATTTTTTTGGTGTTAAAATTCTTCTTCTTTTTTTTTAAATCTGTAAAATACCATAAGTTGGTTACCACTTTTTAAAAATACATGCAATCAAAATATTTTAATTTTTTAGATTTACAATTTAGTGATTATTGTTTAAAATTTAGCATGACGGGGTAGGAGTAAGTTTATAAATTTTTATAAATGATTAATAAACATTTATAAATGAGTTAAGCGAGTTAGTTTATTTTTTCATCACAAATTCATGAAAAGGATCATCCATTAAACATAAATTTGAAAATAATATTAAATTTGTGGTAAAATTAGAATTCTAAAAAAAAATAACTATCGGAATTTGCAAATCTAAAACAACTAGACATCTTTTGGTCCACTCAAATGCTTATGGACCAATTTAAGGTATTCTCTCAACGCTTATAAATACTTCATATTAAATAGATTCACGTATATAATAATGCAGTATTGAAGCGAAAACAAAATATCGGAAATCTATAAGCTTTTGGTGGTTTCTTAGATATTTGTAGCAAGTTTTGTTTTGTTTTGTTTTGTTTTGAAAAAGGGCTTTATTTGTAGCAAGTTGCGCTGCTTCACATTTGCCAGTCTTACATAATTTCATTTTGAAACGACAAATTATATAGCATGTTACATGGTCCCCCTTTTGTTAAGTGAAGCAATGATTCCAACACTAGAATGTTTCAAAATCCACTTATAATGGACTGGTTCTAGATATAAAAAATAAATCTAAATCACATAATTTTACATAGACTTTAAAATAGTTAAATTCTAATTTAACCTAAAAGCATCTAAAAACTTATTAACAGTCAAATCCCTTCACATTACAAACTGCATACACCCCTTATTTCTATTATTTTAATGAAACTTCGCTTCAAATATTATGAACTTCACCAATAAATATTAGAATAGCAGAATACTCAAAAGATTGAATATCAAAATGTTATATTTAGTAGTTGGCTTCTGCATAAACATTATTAAAAAAAAACTAAAATATTCGACTTTTTCTACATATATTTTTAGTGATTTTGTATAGAAAAATTTGAAAACATATAATTCGATGGCAATTTTGTATGAAATGTTATGTTTTCACAATATAAATCATCCAAGGCCTATATATAGTGGTCCAGTGGACGATTAGTTTTATTTTTTAATTTTCTTAAAACTGTTTTACAAATTAGAAGTAGCTAGTATGGCATGATTATAGAAAATGGTGAAAATATTTTTTTTAAACATAAATTAGTAGCGATAAGAGAAGCATAATTGTTGAATAATAAGGATAATGATAAAAATAAAAATAGCACGGTTTTCAGTATTAGCTAATTTTGTAGTTTTTATAATTGTTCAATATTAAAACGGTATTCGTCAATAATATGTAAAATTCTAATTAAAATAGAAGTTTATATCTAAAATATAAATTAATTTGTTTGCCTTTGTATTGATAGTATGTGAAACGAATGACATAGAAAAAAACAAGCATTTCTTTACTAATTTTTTGTTCAACGAAGCACTTTTATTATTTTATAACACTGTTAAAGAGTTCAAGATGATACAAAAAGAAAAAAGAGTAAAAAAAAGATAAAAGAAATAAGATGAGATGTCATTAGACACCAAACAAAATTGGAAGGGATCTCATCAAATCTTTTTATTGCTGATCCTCCATAGTGAGTAAGTGATGTAGTCACACCAGAGCATTTTGGACGATGTACGACTGGTGACGTAGATCACGAGTGACACTTAAAGCAATTGCCGCTGCAGCTTCATTGCGTTTAGAAAGAGCGTGATCCAAACTACATGAATCTATCCTTGCCAGAAGAAAAGAGATATTGTGGCGAATATGGCTGTGGCTATGGTGTTCGTCAGGCTTTGTGAGTACGTCGCTCTCCGACGAAGTCTCAAAAATAATATTTGAGAAATGTAAATTATGCAAACATTCAACCGCCCAAAAAAGAGCCCACAAGTCTGCCTCTATTTTTGTGCGCATACAGAAATAGGCTTAATGGCTATGCATGATTATACACTTATTTTCATCATGTAAAAACCATGAAACACCATTAAGATGATTTTAATTTACCCATGAGGATCCAATATTACATTTGAGGAAACCATTGGACGGTTTCTTCCATCGAACCATTTCCGTATCTACATCACCCACTCCATCAAACCATGTGGATTCTTTTTCATAGGCTTTCTTAGCAATAAACGAAGACTCAATAACCTTGGTTTCAAAAACAAAAGCATTCCTAACTTTCCAAATTTTCCACAGCAACCATGGAAAAATTCTTGTATGTATATCCGTAGATGAGCTCTTAGCAATCTTGATCAGGTGCACAAAATTTAAAAATGTAGAATGCCAAGAGAAACCTCCTAAGGGTACTAGAAAGTTAGATTGCTCCCATGTGACACGTGTTTTAACACATGTAAAAAAACATGACATATACTCTCAGCACCATTACCACAAACAGAGCATGTTGGGTCTATCGGAATACCCCGAGTAGTCAAACGTTGCTTAACAGCTAACACACCAGATAGAGCACGCCACATAAATGTTTTAGTTTTGGTGGAGCTTTGGTCTTCCACAAGTCTCTCCACAATTGTTCAATAGGAGTGAGAGAGTGTCCTTGAGGGTGATCAAAATCAACCAAAGCCTCTAACAACTTATATCCACCCCGGGTCGAATATGATCCACTTGGTGTGAAACCCCATCTGATCGAATCTTCAAGTACCAGTGATGGTTTCAGAAGTAATATCCTTTGAACATCAAGTGGAGTAAAAGTCTGATATAACAAATCAATATCCCATTGATTCGATCCCTGCATGAGTAAGTCTGAAGCTTTTAGCGCTAAATTTATGGAGCTATTCTCACGGTACATTGGAGGCCGAGGAACGGTGTCAATAATCTAGTTTTCAGCCCAAACATTAGTATAAGCCTCATTGCCAATATGTCGATACAAGCCCTTTTTGAGTAATTATCTACCATGCATGATACTCCTCCATGCATACGACGGACGTGTCCCCATTCCACACTCAAGAAAATTTCCATCTTTGAAGTATTTGCCTTTAAGAATTCGAGAAACCAGAGAATCAGGATTATTCCAAATTTGCCAAGCTTGTTTCCCGAGTAAAGCCTGATTGAAACGACCAATGCCATGAAACCCAAGACCCTCCTGTTCTTTGGGTTTACACAAATTTTCCCAAGAAATCTATGGGATCTTTCTCTTTTTATCCCCACTACTCCACCAAAACTGTATAATCGCACTCGTAATTCGTTCACAAAGACCTTTTTAAATGGGAGAGCTAAAGCAACCAATTTTATTAAAACTTCCTTGGCCCTCATCGACAAAGTTTTAGAGTACCACCCCGTGACCTTCTTTCTAATTTTTCTTTGATAATTTTTAATAGATCTTTTTTTGAACCTTGAAAACACTTAGGGAGGCCAAGTTATGAATCTTCACCACCTTCCTTCTTTATACCCAAAACTCTTTTATAGCCTGTTTGGTCTCATTGGCTATTTTTTTTCCAAGAATGATGGAAGATCACACAAGAACAAGTTATCATCAGCAAATAGCAAATGGTGAACAGGATGGCTGCCCGTAGCTAACTTTATACCATGTAATTTTCCTTGTGCTTCAGCTCTGTTTAAGACATGAACTAAAGCTTCGGCACATAAAATGAAAAGAAAAGGAGATAAAGGATTCGCCCTGACGTATTCCTCTTTCCGTTTTAATAAACCCATGAGAGTGTCCATTATGACATTTACGATCAAATCCCATTTTTTTCTAGTAAAACTTCAAGGAAGTTCCATTCTACCCGATCGTAGACTTTTGACATATCTTTCTTAATAGCCATACATTCTTTCCAATTTTATCATTAGTTCGCAGTGCATGTACCAGTTCATGCGCTATAGTGACATTGTCTGTAATTAACCTGCCTCCAACAAAAGCCCCTTGAGTCTTTGATATTATATTAGGCATAACCATCTTCATACGATCACATAGAATACGAGAAATGATTTTGTATTGTACACTGAAAAGACTAATGGGATGCATATCCTTCATCTTCTTAGGATGTAAAATTTTTGGTAACAGAAATAACTGTGTAAATATATCAAAAATGTCGGTCAATTTTCCGGTAGAAAAAGCGTTTCCTTGGAAGGTTAGACCATAAATT